AGAGAGAGAGAGAGAGAGAGAGAGAGAGAGAGAGAGAGAGAGAGAGACGCACACAGCCAAAATCCTCGTAGTCTCGCAACTCGAGGTTTGTGCCCTCTGCTTTTTTATTCCAAAGATCGAATTTTTATTGCCGGGGAGCAGAGGCTTTTGCTCTCTCCGTTCTTCGGATCGGACGAGGGACGGAGGGAGGAGAACGGAGTGTTGTGGATTGCCGTGGAAGATTAGCCGCTGCTGATGGGAGTCCAGGTGAGCCTGCTCCTGTTCCATTCTCCACTTTTGGGTACAGAATTTGTGGTGGATTATTTCTTTTTATTCGTCAGATTCTATTCTTTTTGCCTTCATGAGAAGAAACAAAACTTGTTCGCTTCGTCTGATTCGCTGTTCCTTTTCATCAAAATCGAATTTTGATCCCTGTCGAGATTTGGGCTCGGAGACTCCTTGATTAGCGTCGGAGATCGAGGCCTTCTCGTGGACTTTCCCCCCCTTATTAAACAATTGTTTCCTATTCAAATGCAATCCGACTGCCTTTGGATCGAGGATCGTTTCCTCTGGTTCGACTTGAGACCTGACTTGCAATCCAAGGCAATCCCAATTGCTGTTCTCGTGGAGATTTTGAGTGCTTAGTTTGATCTCTCCTCGTCTCTTTTCCCGGAGAGGAAACTGAGGGGCTTTCTTGCCGACCTGCAAGTGCATTGGAATCCTTTGTTATGCTTTTCCTGAGATGGGTTTCTGTTTGAAGGTTTTGAAGTGAGGAATAATGGCTGAGAGTTGCGTGTTTCAGGAAGAAGAGGAGGATCTGTTCTTCGACTCGCGTGAAGACGTCTCGTCGGTGTTCGACTCGTGTCCTGGCAGCCCCGCAAAGAATGATTCGCTCCCGGAAGAACAATTCACCGGTCCCCAGTTCGAGTTTTGGCTCAAGAGTCCTCACGGCGTGAGGGAACGCCGAGACAAGTTCATGCGATGGATGGGCAAGGATCTCATGAACTGCTCCCTTCCCAGCTCCTCTGGTTTGGATGGACAGGTTCAGATCGACGACGACATCCTGCCAGGGACCAACAGGAGCACGTCAAACTGTTGTGATGCGGGGAACAAGTGTCCGATGTGCAGCTGGTCTAGCCAGGATGCGAGCACATCTTGCAACGAGGCCTTGGAAGAGAAAATGGTGTACAGAATCAAGAATTTGGATGATGGTGCTGTTATCACGGTGGATGAGTTGGGAAAAGATGGTAGCTTGAGAAGCCTTCGCAAAGCCGGTTCGAATCAGATGGCAGCGCTCAATGAGCCTGAGAAAAGTTTGGGTCTGTCGTCTTCGATCCCACGGCACATGCAGCAAGAAGATAACACATCAAAGAAATCTGGCAATTCAGTGAGGAGGAAGTGGAAACGGTGGCTACAGAGACTAAGTGCTGTGGCTTGCATTTTAGATAGACATTCCTTTAAAAATGGAATTGCCAAGTCTGGGAGAGTGGAAGTCAGGCAACACAGAAAGCAGTCAAAAGAACTGTCTGCAGTCTACAAGGGGCAAGACATCAAAGCACATGATGGTGCAATCTTGGCCATGAAGTTTAGCCCTGATGGCCGGTATTTAGCTACTGGTGGCGCTGATGGCATTGTACGCGTGTGGCATGCCATGGAATGTGAGAGGAAAGATGAATTTAGCATTCCTGATGATGATCCTTCGTGTTTATACTTCACAGTGAATCATAACGCCGAATTAACTCCTGTTCGAGCTGATAAGGAGAAAAAGCCCAAGTCTAAGCGTACAAGGAGAACTGCAGATTCAGCTTGTGTTGTAATTCCTCCTCATGTTTTCCGGTTATCCGAAAAACCAGTGCACGAATTCCGTGGGCATGATGCAGATGTATTGGACCTTTCATGGTCAATGAATCAGGTTCGTGCCTTCTTTAACAGCTCAATTTTATTCTCATACTTCTCACTATTATTTCCAAGTACCAACACTTCTTTTATTTGCATTCAGCTTCTATTGTCATCTTCCAAGGACAAAACTGTTCGCCTGTGGCAAGTTGGATCTGATCGCTGCCTCAAAGTTTTCTCCCATACCAACTATGGTTGTTTCTTGTTGTAATGTGCTTATGTTATGGTTTGCCAATCCTTTTTGCTTCAATAATTCTGACGTATTCCTATATTGTCTGATATATAATGCAGTGACATGTGTTCAATTTAATCCCATGAATGAGAATTACTTTGTAAGCGGATCTATAGATGGAAAAATTCGTATATGGGATGTTTCTGGATGTCAAGTTGTGGATTGGGTTTATATTAGAGAAATAGTCACCGCAATTGGTTACCATCCCAAAGGAAAGGTATGTCAGTTACTCTGTGATTGTTTCTAAGGATCAATGCTTAAGAAAATCCATTTTGAGAAGTGATATTTTTTTTTGTCCTTGTAGAGACTGGCCATTGGCACCTTGAAAGGCAATTGTCGCTTTTATGATGCATCGGGTAAATATAAACATAATGACTCCTATCAAATTTACAAATACATTTGTTTGCATTTTGCACATCATTGCATGAGTGGTTATACTATTGTTCTAAAGGTAGATGAGTACTTCAAAAAACATCTGTATATCTGCAGAATTTTTTTTTTGAGTAGTTTTCATGGCAACCTTTACTTACAAGCTATCCTTTTATAGGCTATGCCCAATATGTTTTTATGGTTGCCATCGAAACCATTATCATTGAAAATATTTGTCCAGATGGCCGCACATCTATATTTGGTATAACAACACATCAATGCACCTGAAGATGCAACAGTAAAATCTTGCGAAGAGAAATTTACGAGTTTGGAGCTTTTTCTTTAATATGATCACTCTTAGAGTATTGCAACAGTTTCTTTATGATACCATAAAATAACTACCGTTGATTCTGGAATATATTTCTGTAATTTCTTGCATGGATTGAGCAAATAGAAATTTTTACTCTGGAATAGATTTCTTCTGTAATTTCCTGTGTGGTTTGAAACCTGTGCTAATGCCACCACAGGTGATACATGGAGACACAATTTGTATCTAGCTTTGCATGTGAATAACTTAGTGCTTCCATTTTCTGTTTGACAGATACTCATCTGCAAAGAGAAGCTCAGGTCTTTTTGCAAGGCAAAAAGAAGTCTGGTAACAAGCAGATAACTGGATTTCAGGTAGCTTGCAAGGGATATCGATCTTTCATGATTGGCATATATCTTTATGTGCTTCATGTGATTTCTTTTCTTACTTTGTAATGTGGCTTTGACATCCAGTTTTGCCCAGTGGACCCTAAAAAATTGATGGTCACCTCTGCTGACTCACAAATTCAAATTTTTGATGGGACTAATGTGGTCTCCAGATACAAGGGTATGCATTCACCTTATCTTCTTGATCTCATCCATTAATGCTCATCATCCATCTGTCCTCACAGATCTTACTTTGACAATCTTGTTTCAGGTTTTTGTGGTGCTGGAAGTCAGATGTATGCATCTTTCACCGCAGACGGGCAGCATATCGTCTCTGCCAGTGATGATTCAAATGTCTATTTCTGGAACCGTGCTAGCCATAACACCTCCACGTCCAACCATGTTAAGAGCACACGGTCTTGCGAGCATTTCTTCTCCAGAAACACAACTATCGCGATACCTTGGCATGGTTTGGAATCCGGTGATCGGATCTCTGTGACCTCTGAGGTTATCCATTCCGAAAAAGGTAACAGTGACGAAGCTGGAGTCCCAGAGATCGATTTGAAATGCCACTCAGGAGATTCTTACGGCATCAACGCACTGTATCTTTCGCCTTCTGGTAGTTTCACTCTGAGTCATGAATTCTTCTCAGAGTTTTCGCCAAAGGGATCGGTGACATGGCCCGAGGAGAAACTTCCCTCGAGCTCTGCCGCATCTACCTTGTCCAAAGCCCACCACAAGTTCTTGAAGACATCTTTCCAGAACACCTCCCATGCCTGGGGTCAAGTGATACTGACTGCTGGATGGGATGGATCGATCAGATCCTACCAGAATTATGGTTTGCCAGTGTGCATCGATGACCAGTTTGGCCTTTATACGGCTGGCATCAGTCTCTTCCAGTGGGCATTGCCAACGAATGATCACCGCACCGAAGTTGAGTGACCAGCAAAGATGATGCAGCCGATCCAGTTGGAGACAGACCTACACATATAGAGTTCCATGTTCGGTGCTCCTTCCTTATCGAGCATGGACCCGTGCTGTTAACATGCGCTGGTGGTCCTTGAATGGCTTAGCAGCACCATCATCGAGCCATGGAAGAAGGCCCAGATAGGTCGAAGATCTTCTGGGTTTGTGCAGTGCAGGTGAGATTTTGAAGTCTCAAGTGTTTCTTTCAGATCCTATGGGTTTCGGAGACATACTGCAAGCAGGTTGTGCCGAAAACCAGAGTAGGAGTCATTGTTGCATATAGAAATTTGATGTAGTTATTACTCAATTCTTTCATTTATTCAATGTTAGGTGTTCATAGTTTTTGCCCTTCAAAGAGATTGATTTGTTCATGTGGGGAAGTCATGTTTGCACTTTATGGTTAGATATATTCCTTTACAAATAAGAATCCGCGGACTTGTCAATCTTCCGAATTACTTACTGCCTACATGTAACTTGAGCCCGAGAGCTTTGTTTCATTACTGGTAGCTTAGGCTTCTGTTCTTCGTTATTTCGAGGCAATTGGGGATGCCAAAAAGGGACCGATCCAATTGGTGGCGAGGAAGATTCCCGGAACTACTCCACCTTATCATGATATATTAGAAAAATTGGTAGCCACATTAGGTTTTAATTAATTTACCTGATATATTTTTATTATTGGATAACATAACAGCAAATCAACTTTATTTTTTTTTTAATTTATAAAAAAAATCATGTTCTTCTAATCTGTTGAAATTAAAATTGGAAATTCGAATGAGAGAAATATGATCCTGTGGTTGTCCTTTTAGTACATGAATTCTATGAGAATTATTTGGAACACTAAAAAGATTTTGATTTAGCAGAATCAGTTAGTTAATAGTAGAGAGATGATAGGAATGTTTATTGTCCATTTCAAAAGAAAAATAAAAGAAATATTAAAATAACACACTGCACGGACTATTTCTCTTTGGCTGAACCGGCTATCATCAGATTCGCAACTGCGATCGGAGAATTAAGAGACAGTAATTATATCCCGCAACTGCGAACTCAGAGAAAAGAGGATGACGCTTACCACCACTAGTACAAAACTCGAACTAGGAAAAAGAACCAAAGAAGAAAGAAAGTTAAACAGCACCAACAGATCGATTGCTTGCACTTCTTTTCTTACTCGGTGTGGTGTTGGCGTCTCGCTGAGCAATCTGGGAAGCTCCTGCTTCTCCAGCTTTCATTTTGTGTGAAGTAATCCCGTCGTCTGGCTTTGCGCTTCCAAGCTGTGTGTGCAACCAAGTCAGAGGAGTAGGCATACATTATTATAACTTTAAAGAACAAGTTCAATTTCACACGCTAAACTAACCAAAGAATATGAGTAACCCAAATTGAAGTGAACCAGAAAAAGAAAGAATAGTGCCCATAAAAAGTAATAGTAAAACAATCATATTGACCAAAGCAAACAATAATGCAAATATATGTCGTTTTATATGCTTTAGTGAGTCCATCTCTGGGATCTCATCGATCATTCAACCGTGTTGGGTGCCAACTCCCATAGACCACACAACATTAGCTAAACCTGATCCAAAATACTCGAAGAAACATGGGCCAGAAACTGATGTTGACAATGTGCAAGGTGGGGAGAGGCAAGACTTCAAACACTCACACCTCTTTTCTCTCTCTCTCTCTCTCTCTCTTCTCCATGGATCCACCTTCTTTTTTTTTTTTTTGGAGTTGGTACCCAGAATCTGACTTGCATTATGGGGCCTCTACAAATTTAAAGTAAACAATATATTCTGCATTTGTTCCATAAAGAAAATTCTATAGGGTCAGATCTAACTGTGACATCCGGAAGATAAAATTTAGAGGGGGGAATTTGAAATATCAAAAGTATTTAATTAAAAAAACCCAAAATTTGGAAATTTACTAAACCAGAGCTTTTCCACCGATTTGGATCTTCCAAGCTACAGCCTGCTGGTTGGCTCCACGCTACAGGACAAACCCATTAATTATCAGACAATACAGGTCACGACATGGCCACCGGTAAATCGTGATGTGACTTCATGTCACAGATGTCCTCGTCCCCGGATAACACCGAATGATAGAGTCCTCGGCACCATTGCCACGTCGTCACGTTTTGATTTGGACAATTCTATTTTACGGGAAAAAAAAAGAGAGAAAAAGAATGTGCTTTAGAACGACTCAAGAGTCAGGTCCATATACCTCATGTTATCCATGTGTCGACTACTCGAGAAACCAAGTCTCTTACTCCAATTAGATGACGTGAAGCTTTTGAAGGTGACGACGACCATGACCCCGAAGATGTTCTAATATCTGCGGTAGATATCGACGAGTCTTCGTTATCAAGATTATCCATATCTTTTTATAAGCTTGGATAATCTCGAACTAGGAAGAAAGAAAGGCCATAATAGAAATTTGGTGCCCCATACATACTTCTGTACGTGCAACAACACACGAAAGCCTCGACCAAAAATTTCTCAGCTGAATTACCTAACACACTTCGATCTTTTTTCCATCGAATTTGAAACCAATATTGGCGGTATTTATTAAAAACTTCTAACGATGCTTAATATCTTCGAGGCTTCGATGATTCGTGTCCACACAAAAAACAACAAAAAACAAAAACTTACCGACAAAAGGTACTTGCGGTAGCGTACCACCCCCGACCCCACCGGTTCTCCGCCATACGTGCACCGCATCATGCACAGTCGTGACACGAACCATTTGAAAGCAGCGTTGAAACTAGCAGGACACTTAAAAATCTGCCCAGTACTTGCAGTGTTGGCAACAGAGCCACAATCTGCTTTATGTGTACCTACCTAATCACCTTCCGTCGACGGACTTGGGTCCTCTCCAAACTCGTTCCTTCCTGCCATGACGACGGGTGGAAGACGAGAGTTACGAGATTACACACCCGAGGCTTCACAAGCTTAAAACCCACCGTAAGCCGTGAGGGGCGTCCTCCTAATGGGCAATCCGAGGCACCCACGGTTCCGTACAAGAAATCCATCGAGCACTTTTCATGCAGTATTTTTATCATTTTGTGCCAGGTTTTACGGCATTTTATTGCTTCCTACTCCTGCCACTGCTTCCCGTTCTAGCCTTCCCAGTTGGTGCACCGGGTTGTACCTCACACCAAGCCAATGTGTTGCAGGACCATGAAAGAACTTGAGAACGCTATAAATTAATGCATGTGCCTAAATCGATTTATACAGCAGCATATTAATGGATGAAAGCGTTGTGTAGCTGTTATAACGAGTTTCACTAATCTACGCATCGACGATCTGTTTTCCGTATGTAACTCATCCATACAAATGTCAGACTAATAAAAAAAAAGAAAGCCAAAGCCAATTCATCTATTTTTAAATCCATCTCCATCTACTCACTTGCCATTTGAAAAACTAGAATTACTATTATGTCCTTCTCAATTTAATGGTTTATGTTTTCACTCTTATTGTTTCTATGTAAAGAAAAACAACAATAATATTGTATATATATATATATATATATATATATAAAGAAAGTAACAACAGTAATGGAAAACTAACAGATGAGAAAAATGATATTATTCAAGAAAACAAATAAGATAGACTGAAACACATACACATGAAATGAAATTTACCTGATCCTTCAGGCACTTGTGCTTTGAGAGAAGTGGTTGTGGCTTCCTTTTCCTGTGACGACTTGTCACGACTGACTCCCCTTCTTCTTCTTCTTCTTGTTCTGAGGAGAAAAGAAGGAAAAAGAGCAAATAAATAAAACGAAGAACGATCACCCACGACCAATTTAAATAATATTAAAAGAGTTAAAAAAATAAATTTAATATATTAAAGAGTCCTCATGCTTCTATTTCTTGCGCCATACTGTGCAGCTACCGAACAGGTTAGTGCAACGACCGTAACGGGCAGGAGCAGCAAAATATACGACTTATCCCAACAAACTCCATCCCCAACAACCCTTTCCAATAAAGGCAAGCATCGCAACAACGTCGAAAATATCTAAGGGTAATTTCGTCATTTCATCACCGACAGCGACCATCCTCGTAGACCCGCCCACCGGAAAAATGACGCGATCGCAACACCTCCCATCACCATACCGCAACAACGGAAGCGAAGAACAGGCAGACGTCTGCCCGCGGGGACGATGAGAATGGTCAGAAACCGTACCTGGCTCCTCCGCCTCCACGGCCGTCGTCGCCGATCGCCGTGTCCGGGCCGGCCTGGCGGGCCTCCCAGGGTTGCGGTTGGACTCGGTGGCGCTGTCGGGGAGGAAGCGGTCGAGCGGGAGCGGCGGCGGGAGCCAAACGGAGGCCCCGAGCTTGACGTCGAGGTCCAGGTGGGGGCTAGGGTCGTTGCCGCGGGCGGCGAGCACCCGGCGGACGAAGGACTCCTCTACCCAGTTGAGGAAGGCGGAGTGGCGCTCTTCCGTCCACGACCCGCCGCAGCCGTCCATCATCTCCTCGAGGTCCATAGATCGGACGCCAGAGATTGCAGCTCTCTCTCGCTCGCTCGGGAACTCTTAAGGCGTAGCGGTTGCGCGACTTCTCTTTTAATTTCCCCCCTCGTGCCTCTTGAGGGGGAGAGACAGAGGAAATATCTAGGAGTATGTTGCCACGTGTCCCAAAGATTTTTTTTTCTTCCTCGTCCAGGTGGGACCTCAACGTGCGACGAAAACGACGGCGAACAGAGATAACCTGATTCCCAAAAGTAAAGGAAAAGACGAAGATAAAAAGAGAGACGCATTGGAAGAAATCCAACAAGGAATCGAGGAGAAAGAGTCGTGTCACGTCATCAGTGGATCGCGAGCAAGCAGTCTTAATCTCAAACCGAACATTGCAGCATATCATTAATGTTTATGATGGGGAAATGTTCATCATTCTTCGGTAATTTATGATATCACATATAGTTAGGGTGTTCTTCGCACGAATCTTCACCGTCGTTTTCTGTTGTCACGTGATTCCTTTAGCTGGAGCTGGTGACCATATCAGTGAGCACGCGGGGCATTTGGTTTTGGGTTTGGAACCGTCTGGAATCAGCTACATTCCCACGTCACGTGAGTATTAAGTCAGTTATTGGGCCGAAGAACACTGATGCCCGTCACAGAAACCCAGAGTTTGTTCCGCCGTCCATTTGAAAGGGCTTCTCCCTCCCTTTCTCATCTCCTCTCTCTCTCTCGCTGCTTTGTTCGGAGTTCTCTTCTTTTTACCCTCTTTCGCTTTTCTCGGTCCTCTTGACCTCTCTGGGGTTCCCAAGATTCTCATTCGTTGATCCATTTCCGTCCCTCCCGATCCTTGAACGACCATCTCCTCGGAGAAACTGGAGGCCCAGCAACGCCGGTTTCTGGAGGAGGACCACTCCTGATCGCCAGCTCAAGCTGATGGAGGAGATATTGTGAGCAGCTAGGATAATGTTATTTCTTACCCTAATTTATCGTTCGGATCTTTTTTTCTAGCTTCCCTTCTCTTTTGGTTCTTGATTGGGTTTGGCGAGTCTGCTTCTTGGATTCTTTTCTTTGTTCGTTGATTCAGTTTTTCTGGGGCTTCTTTGGTTTTGGCTATCGATTTCCATCTTGATCATGAGAGTCTGGTTCAACCAAGAAAAGACGATTTCATCTTGATTATGGTGGGACTTTGATGCAGCCAAGAAGATGCAGCAGCGGGAGGCGAGGACTGCAAGAATTCAAAGAAGGAAGATGACGTGGACCCAAGCGCAGGTGAGCCCAAAAATCTTCGACGGCAAGGAACCTTCGATTTTGTTCTTGATGTTTCCCTAGATCTCTAAACTTCTGCAATGATGAAAAATCATCGTCCATGAATAGAGAACCTTCCTTTGTTCTTTCAATGGTTGCAGTCAAATTCCAAGAAATTGTTTCGTGATATTCTTGTCAAAGTTTTTTTAAATATGTTAAAATAAATAATAAATTGAAGAATAGGATCGAGACACTGGTACAGAAAAATGCTTTGAATTGAAAAAATCTTGAGAAATCGACTCCACAAGCATTTCTTTTTCTACTCCTTTTAATATATGACAATCTTGCTAGGTTTCTTGATCATCTTACCAACTGACTGCCATATAAATCTTACATGATCGTCCTATGATTCTAAACACATATCTTATGCATTTACCCTATCCTTAGAAATTGACTCCACGAGTATTTCTTTGTCTACTCCTGTTATCAGATGAAAAATATATATGAAAATATTGCTAGGTTTCTTGATCATCATACCAGGAGACTGCCATATAAATCTTACATGATTGTCCTATGATTCTGTATACATATCTGCATTTACTCTATTTGAAAAAATTCATATTTTTATTTCCCCTGAAGTGCATAAAAGAGATTCCAATGCTAAGAATGTTTCTGTAAATTATTTCTTACGTTGATGTGCATGTATGATTTTTCTTACTTGTGCCATAATCACACTTTTTAATTTAAAGTATTGGTTGATATTATCCTTCTAGAAAAGAAATATGTGTTATTACATGAGAAAACAACTAGTTAAATTCCTAAATAGTGCAAGTGCTTTATCCATGTTACCATACCAGATGAGTCCGCGGTTGAACTTCGGTATTTGGAAGCAAAAGACCCTGCTTAATGAGCATTTGATTAATAATCTTTTAAGGAGCACCACAGATTCAAGTTGTATTAATGGTCTATTATTTTTCTCAAGGATAATTTTATACTTTTATGTACATAATCTGGAAATGAGTTTACAAAAGATTTTGTTGAATAGCAATGCTTCCTAGTGTTCCTTAAAAAGCATTTTAAGCATTCCTCACAATTTGAGTAATTATATAGTTAAAATTCAATCAGTCCTTTGGTCTACTTGTATAAAAGTTTAAACAAAGATCTGGATGTTTAGGCAGTAGTTAACATGGATAGTCGATTTATGAATGAACAATTTTGATATGTTCAATCCATGAAATACTTGTTGGTTGTATAACCAATATGTAATATGAAGAGAAACAATGAATGTGAATGATGTAATCAGAATGCCAGCAGATTGGGAAATTTCACTTATTCAATAAACCCCAAGTACTTGTTAAATGGGTGCAGCCTTGTCATGAGGAACCACTGTTAATACCATAATAATGAAACTATCAAGTAGGCAATTACTTCATTCGCCAATTCTTGATCAATGATAGTGCAGAAGTCTGTTGTTAGTGGTGGCCAATCTGGATTTGTTATAGAAATCATGAAAATTGTAATCATTTGAAGACATTTCAGGTTCACTGTAAATTGTATGCTCCCTCAATATACGTCAACACTTACAGAAGATGAGATGGGTTATAGATGGATTGGAACTTGTAGTCTCTTGACTTTGTGCCTTTGATCAGTCCATCAGATATCTGGTTAGTACAGTCAACATGTGGGAAATGTAGTCAAATTATCTCCATGAGTATCTGTTGTCCGAGATAATCTCTGTTATGTTCATTCTAATATTTCTTTAATTGCATGTTCATTTGGAGAAAGATGTTTAATTTTTTAGGGAAATTTAAATGAAATGTGATTATTTTGCTTTATATTAATAATAAGGTGCTTGGTCTCAGGTGGACTTCTATTGTTTACTGTTCTGATTAGGGGGGCTACCATCCTGCTTCGGTTGAATCAAATGAAAGGCTCGGTCAAGCTTCGCGTGAGTTGCTCATTGTCATTTAGTCTTTTCTTTTCATATTTGATTATTGATAATATCTAATATTGCCATTCAGAGACTGATCTGCTCAACTTTTAACTTCTTTGATGTCCGACGGTGTATTACCATTTAATGTTGGGCATTTTTACTATTTACGCTTGTCTTTTTAATATATCAATGAATTGGATCTGTCATATGCTATATTTATTTGCATGAAAAATTAAAAAGTGATGAGCTGCCTAGCCCAGTAGCTAACACGAAGGATCGTCGACCCGTTTCAGTGTTCTGGTCGGATTGATACATGTCGATGTATCATATGTTGGTTTACTGGTAGGTGCTGGTGTTCTAGAGAGGAAGAAAAAGGGGGAGAAGAGGAAGGTGCTGTGAAGGAACTGGAGGAGGAAGGAGGAAGAGAAAGGAAGAAGATGTGGCAGAGGAGTAAAAGGAGGAAGAAGGAAAAAAGGGAAGCAGCGGAGGAGGAGGAAGAAGAAAGAGTTGTGAAGGAGGATGATAAGAAGAAGGAGAGGAGAATAGGAGGGCATGTACTAGAGAGAAAAACAAGTGGGGAGAACTGGGTGGACTAGTGGTTGTGGCAACAAAGGCGGCATGAGAAATGGGTCGCAAGCTCTAATCGGGGGTGGCATCACCCAATGTTATATTTATTTTATGGTTTTTTTTTTATATATGATTTAGACTGGACTGCCTGTGCCACAACGGCAACATGAGAAGTGGTTCACAAGCCCTAATCAAGGGTGGCACCACACAATGTTATATTTATTTTAGGGTTTGTTTCTATTTATATATGATGTGGATTGGACTACCCAAAACAAGAGAAGTCCATCACTATTTGTACCATTTTGGGTGGTATGATGCAAGTATTACATCAGCGAATGATATCGTCCATATTGGACGATACGTACCGATTAATCAGTAGGCTTGTACACGAATCACTCGCTATCGGGTGGTTCCGTTGATCTAGCCTCGCATCGGACGATACGAGGTTATATCAGGCGATAACGATTGATTTTGATCATCGTTGCTCGTTACCAGGCGGTATCAGCTTGGTTGTGGCTTGGCTGTGGTGAGGGAAGAAGAAGCGTCAAGAGAGAAGAGAGATAAGGCGCTTGAAGAAGAGAGAGAAATGAGAAAACCTCAACACTTCCTGATCTGGCGTCGTCCTCCCTCGACGATCCCGATCCAGGGGGTAACGGAGAGGCGACGATTTGGCTTCTTCTTTGTTGCGTTCTTCGCCAAATGTTGGAGATGCCTATAGTCTTCGTCGAATGTCGGGGACATCTATGGCATTCGATGATTTCGTTGAACGTCGCCGATGAGGAGAAGATCGTGTTATTTTCCTCATCTGACGCGATGAGGAGAAGAAAAGGAGGCGATGCCATCGAGGCAGCATACACCTTCTTTTTTATTTTTTAATATTATTTTTATATTTTTATATTATATATATGTGATATATCTCTTGACGTATCGCTCGGTACACCCGTACTACACATACCATACTAAGCAAAGCTCGATACGTTGGTACGATACGAAAATATTATGATGATTCTCGGTTAACACAACCTATTTAAATGGATCAAGTTATCAAATTTATCATATGAAGCCACTAGAGGTGCAAGTATTTTTGTAATAATTTCGTTTAGCAAATCATGTGCAATAATAAGGTAACTAATAGCCACAATCATTTTGTGGACGATGACCCAACAAGAAATGATATAGGGTTACCCTTAGTGACTATGAGGTAATAATTCATAAATCAGAATTCTCTAGGATTATAATCAGAATTCTCTAGGTAATAATTCATAACTTTTGTTTTTGTTGGATGCTTGTATGGACTTCACTACGTCTCCGTTATAACATCATCCTGCTGTTTCTTGTATACACTTGGTGGCTTCTCATAACAAAATCTTACTTTTGTTATCAGAGATCTATTGACCCATAATCAAGCTTATGCCGTCTACGAAGATAATTAAAGCAAGTGTCTAGAGGCCTATTGGTTTGATTACCTTTTTTATATACACACTTTTGGTTTGATTACACTGTATTTCCTCAAAAAAAGTGGTCGTGCTTATTTGTGGTATCTGAAACGTTGCTGTGACTAGAAACTAGAAGTCAATTTTTTAATGCTGCATAATTTTCCTGTGCAGATGATGAGACCAGAGTTGGGACAGTTTATGGAACCAATAATTGCTTCTTATGACAGTTTATGAAATCAGCTGCAAACAAATCATTTTCAAGATGTGCAGTAAAGTAGGAGCCACACACTTTTCGAACCAATAATTGTCGGAAGTAGTGAACAAAAGATGGAAGACAGTTAATGATCTCATGGAATGCAGAGAAAAATTGAACCGAATTCAACTTAACAGTAAAAGAAACAGTACCTACCAACAACCAGCAGAACTTGACAGTAAAAGAAACAACCATCACTGCCCACGTTCCAATAAAGAATAAGGAAGTGTAGCTTGGTAAGCTTAAAGAGAAATTACCAAGAAAAAAAAAATATATAAAATAAAATAAAGCAAGAAGCACCTCATTGCATATTTATCTATCATCAGACAAAACTTCAAACTCGCCAAAAATTAACAACCAGTTCAATAGGGACAATAAAGAAAATAGGTTCGCCATCTACAGGTAATAAATAATAGAACAATAATGACGATGTCTATGTACATGTATTCATGGTGAGCAAAGGTAAAAAGCTTTCACTGTTTGAGAAAGTAAACTTACTGCAGCTACATCACCAATATATGTCTGTCCAAATCAGGACGTCGCTGAGATGTTTTCATCTTAACCGCAGGTGCCAGGTGCAATTAGCACAGTCCAAAAAGTTCCAGGTCTTGAGAGACTAAAATAAATGCTTCATGATGATAATAATGATATAACAACAATATAGTTTAGAATTCAACATGAAGTCTCTCACCTGTAGATATAACAACAAAACCAAGACAAGTTACATGCATCATCATCACATCAACGAAATCACCGTTCTGATGAACAGTCTTCTAAGGTCTCTGCAAGAGAAAAAATGTGGAGGACGCCAAACTAATAACTAATAGGGAAAGAGAAATGAACATATCTGAGAATGGTCCATTAATGCATGCCGTACTGTGCCTTTGCGTGATATCAGTACAAAAGAAGCACTGAAGATTGATTGTCAGCATTACATTTCGGGTGTCAACCATAACTCCAACAACCAAAACCAATGCAGCAACATAAGAGAATCAAGAAAACAGAAGCTCATCTGAAGGGGTTTACCGGACTCTACGTGTTCAAGAACGTCGCCGGCGTAGATTATATCCGAGTCGACGACGGCGTAGATTATGGCCGGGTAGATGAACCGAATTCTTGGATGGAGAAGAATAAATAGTGCCGTGAACCGGACCCCGTTTGGTTCTCCTAATCAAGTCCGTACCCAACAAATCCCGAGTCATTAGCCCATCAAATGAGGCTTATTCGGTCGAAGACCTCATCTTAACCCTTCGCAAACGAAGTATTTTTATTAAATGCAGACTTCTCGCTGCGCCACGCGTAGAAAACTCAATCCATGGATTGATTGAATCAAATCGAGCATAGTTCGTTCGTTCTTGCACATCTCAAGCCCGATAAATCTGAGGAAGTATGAACCATTGAAAGTATATACGTAGTATAAATGTGTTTAGTGAAACGGCACGACGTGGGCAGAGACCCCTCTCACCGAAGGGTTCCTACATCAAAGGTTCGCCATCTCAAAGCATGATGAGTGCAGATCATGTGTCTGAATAAATTATATGGAGAGAGGATTTGAACTCTTTATGTGAAGGGGACAGATAATAGAGCAACATTTCCCGAGTCCAACAGGAGCATCAGGCTTATGAACAACATTTTGATGTTGCGCAACAATTTTTTTGTATGCTACATATGTCGAAAAGATTATCCACCAACATAGGCCACAAATAACAATAGGCCATGAGGAGGCCTACCAGCAGCAGCAGCAGCAGAAGCAGTAAAAGTTCGCTCACGTCGTCATCTCTTTACACATAATAATCACATCTTTTAGGTGGACAGAGGGTCTACACCTCCTCCGTTCCGTGGTGGTTGCTTTTTAATATGTTGAACTTGCAGAGTGGGCATGTAGCATTTATACGCAGCCATTTATCTATGCAGCTGCAATGGAAATGGTGACCACAAGGCAGTTCACGCAGCTCCACCCCATCGTCATACGGAGACAGGCAAATGCAGCATTCCTGCAGGTAAGAAAGACACATATGATTGTAAGTAAACTAGATTTGGTTGATTCGAGTTCATGGAAGGAGATAAAAAGGACAATAAAATGCTAAGGTTCGCCGAGCTATCAGATCAACATACAGGAATAACCCTGTTAACATTTAGCAGTAAAAAAGAAAAAAGGCAGATAACAAACAAACTGGTCTGATATTTAGCCATGAGTTGATTCATTTGTCGGTATTCTCACTCTGACAAAAATGAACCTTTTTCATGCCACTTTGATATCTAGTTAGCTTTGGGACGGCTAGAATCTGCTTTAAAATGACATTGATTTGGAGATAGGCAGTCTGAGTCAAAGTGACATTTTGTCCTGAGCTGAGGATTGTAAAAAACATGAGATTCTCAAAAAATTTCCAATAGCTGCCTCGATGCTGGAAAGATCTGATGTTGCATAGCAAAATGAAACGAAACCTATCTTGGTTAAAGCATCTATACTAGCATCTTTCAATAACAATTATAAGCATCTACATTGAATCGGTGGTGACATCTTTCCTATTCATTGAATTACACTGAGAGAGCTAGGGGTCTTCTGGAAAAAATTGCTCTGCCTGTTCAGTAAATATCAAGCTCCCTATCGCCTTGCAACTTTTTTTCCTGTCAAGCCCAGTGAAAAGTTACTCATGAAAAATTAGATTGCTCAAGCACAATTGGACTCGTGCATACTGATATGACTTCATCAAACATTACACTGGAAGATCTTATGTTGATTGTTTTCTATAAAATGCATTAAGCAGGTTACCATCTTAGCCATGGAGAACTCATGTGGAATCTCTATAAAGGCTGAGCATGTTTTCATTAAAGTGTCAATTATCTGTGACCAGAAAGCCATCATCTAGAAGCCCACCTTGCATTAGAAAGAAAAGTATAAAAATGCTCTGGTCAAGTGGTGAAAGGCACAATTGTTTCATGAAAAGAGTTAAGACTGCCATGGGAGTAATGGTAGAGAAGAAGAATTAATTTAAAACAAATAAACTTACAACCAAAGAAGATAACCTCAAAAAGTAAGAAAAACCAAATCAATATGAAAATTAGATATAAAACTGATTTTCTTCAACGCCTTGACAGGAGGGACTAGGGATAACACAGTGGTTTAGAAAAACAAGGGGACATAAAAGCAATCTTTTTAGATGGACCAAATGATGTTTAAGACTAGATATGGTCCAAATGATGTTCAAGATCTTTAAAATTAGACTAAGTATAAAACCAGGTAGTGGGCTTCGTTTGATAAATAGATTATCAATATATTTAACAGATCTCCACCAGGAAGCCATCATTTGGCACTTACAACTCCAATTATGCCTTTAAGTGATTTAGAGAAAATTTTCTTGCTTACTGTTCCTGGGTGTCTGCGTAATGATCATACCAAGCATGACAACAGTGACATGTAAAGATCCATAAAAGGAAAATAAAATTAAACACAAACTAAAGCCTAAAGAGAAAAACAAGAACTAAAGCTTAAAGATAAGTCAAACTGAAAAGCTTACAGCATCCTCGGCTGAAAGAGTGTGCTCCACGGGTGGATCACTGCCACACTCTATCATGATTCCACCAAAAGGTCCAGATATCTCAAGTTTTTCAGGATCTCCAACCTTATGAAATTTGTACTTTGAAAGTTGGTGTATATCTTCTTCGGACGCTCCTTCCTGCTTAAATGGTGAAATGAATGCATCACATACTTGATATTATACAAATCATAGATAGAAGTCCCATATGACTGCAATATATGACATGCCAACCCATAAGATTCAAGCACTGCATTGACAGAAAGCAACAGCATGCATTAAGTACCATGGCACAAACTGCACAAGTGGCCAGCCAAAATAGACGCCATGTGACATACTAACCCTTGATGCAAGCTCTTACCATGTCTTATTAGGATCCAGTAAAAGAAATGTTTCCAGACATTCAAAAATAACTAAAGAACCCACTTATACCATGAATGAAGAGAGAAGACCCACATTTAACCAACTAATTTCAATGCACATAAATGTGAAATATCTGTGATAATTTAACCAAAATGAACAGATAGAAGTACAAAGGTTTTAAGCAAAAGGTCACTATGAAGCAAAATATTGTCCTTAGCAAATCAGATCAATGAAATGAAACTAAAAATACCAGAGTTCAGCTAGCATAATATAAACAAATACATTATCATCAAAGGAAGTACTAGATAGGGTTGGTATTCTAAAAGATCAGCTCAGGTGTGTACAATTGCATAAACTCATATAAATTTATTTCCCATATTTTAGCTAGAGAAAAGTTTATACATCTTTGATAAGCACCCTCTTGCACACCGCTGTTGATAACAATTGCATCAACTTCAAGAGCAAAATGTCAGACAAAACGTTACTCAAGTTAGTAATACTCCATATAAAAAGATCAACCCAGAAGAAAATTACCAAAAAAGATTTACCAAGTTGTGACATGGAATGATTGTTTTCTCAACCCTTATCTGGAAAGAATATAAAACCCAGTCTAGCGAATTGCTTCAAATATCAAAATAATCAAGAAAAGAAGGAATAGCTACAGGATAACAACATGACATGGATATACTAACACTTGAGGTGGCATACCTGGTCTGCAACAGCATATAAAATGGCAATGATGCATGGCAGACAGCAGCAAACAGCAATACCAACCACACAAGCCAAAGCAACACAGAAAACAACAAAGAACACATCAAACGCCAGAAAGACTATGCACAGCCTGCAAAAAAAGAAAGGTTCAAACTTAACTCTGGAGTTCTAAATTTACTATGCAACAAAATACTTGATCTATATCTTAGTCAAACCAGTAAAGTTGGGGTGCATCATGGGTCAATTCTTGACCTCCAGCAGATACCCAGTAAAATCCAATGATCCACCATATGAATGAGAACATAGTGTTTGCAGACTCCAAATGCTTTACAACACTGCCAAAAAAGGAACAGATGAAAAAAGGTAGAAACTTGGTATCCATGATAAATAAAGGTAGAAACTTTAATAATTTTATGTTCCTATAGTATACAAAGGGTATTATATAGAGAAAAGAGGAAAAAATAATAATAAACCTACACGGAGATCAACACATTATTATTCATAAACATGGTCATGGCCCTTTCCTGAATTATGGCATCTTAATACAGAAGAAAATTTTGCACCATGCATACAAGTAAAATGTTGATTAAAGATGAATTTCACAATGTGACTAGATATGTGAAAATCATGAAGTCTATAATTGGTGGTTGATATACATAAAGTCCTTTTAAACTAAAATGGCCCATTTGCAGCAGTTGTATTTAATAGAAAGGTATGGCTACAAAGAAGCAAATATATATAGTATATTTTATTGCCTCTGAAGTTTATGTTAAAGGAAGCAACAACAGAAAGAAAATCATACAAAGACAGCCAGTTCAAGAGGTCCTAACCACTTTGGAGATAATAATATGATTTGAACCATCACACATCTTAAATGTAACAAAAGTATCAATAAAGGATCTCCATCCATAATTGGCATGTTCATAGGATCTGTGACGGGTAACACAAGCCAAAAAGAAACAAGACGACCTGTCAGTATTCCCTCAATGCAGCACAAACCGTATGCCAATACTGTGCCTGTACAGTTCAACTCTTGTCAAAGTCCGAATAAAAACCTAGCCCACAGACACGTAAGATTAACCCCAGGAACATTTTTATATAATTATACTTGACAAAAGAACTTGTGCATCATCCATTTAAATAACCCCCAAATCCAAAGTATACAGTATATTAATAAAGCAATCACTACTAATGTTACAATTTACCTCCCTGGCCAGTACTTCTCTAGTTCAAGGATGTGAAAAACCCTCCCAAAGAGAATTGGAAGAGAAAAAGGAAGGTTGTATAGCTGAAAATTTTGGAGAAACTGCAAATGAGATAATTGAAGTGTCCCTTACAAGATTTCTTCGAAGGATATTATTGCTGAGCTCTAAATTATTAGAGAAAGAACAAGAAAAACCACTGTCTCCTTAATTTGTTTCTATTGTTGAATGGGCTCAATACAGGGGTTTTCGGCTGATCACTGCTCGTCAAAGGTTAAAGAGAGGTCACCAACCCTTCTCCTCAACCTGGTAGGACTCCGTGAACTCTTTTGTGAGTAGGGTAAAGGATCCCTTTCAGTCACAGGAAAAGGGTTGCTGGACCAGATAGTTGGCTGCACATGTCTGTTGGGCCTTGCTTAATGAGAAACCATGGCCACTGGGCTTCGAATGCTTCTGCTTTTGTATATACTGCCTGTTAGATTTCTCAAAGCTATTTTTTGTAAAGAAGAAGAAATACCAAACATGCCCTTAAATTTTACATTTAAATTTGATACAGTCACAAGTCAACCCTTCTCCTTTCTAATAACTTCCTTTTCTTTCACTATGCTCTAATCACCAAACATCAAACGTCAAAGCAATCAGCATTGTGTATGATATTATTTTCTTTCTAGATAATCTGCTGATTTCAAACAATTACCAGCAGACTTTTATATGCTTCCATTTATAAATAATTAGGTGTAATCCTGATAGAGATCAAATGAGGCCTATAGATGTTGTCATTAGGTGATATGAGTTAAATATGATTAGTGGTGTATGGAGGAAGGTCACAAGAGACAAGACTTCAATAAAAATAATGATAATAATAAAAACCTTAATGCTCTTGAATTAACGAGAGATATTAAATTACACAAGGGACAATGGCGAAAAAAAATCCATGCGGCCAAGCCAAATGGTTTGGTATGGCTTATTATTCGTACTGTTATGAACAGAAATCCCAGAAAAGCTCTTCTGGGATTTGTTAACTTTTTCTAAACAGAGACCAGGAGAATGCATGGTTTGCCCCCATTGTCATTGGAAACAAAAGCTCTTCTGCATACATGAATTAGCTCCTTTACCATAGAAGTCCATTCCATGTTCCAGATATTTAAGTAGGGTATGGCATCATTCTCATTCAGTTTTTTTTTTCAGATCAAATATTATATCTCATAGCCCAGGATAATTACTACATTGAATAGGAACATCATGCATTCAAAGATAAACAGAGAACTATTGTGACAAATAGTAAATCTACATGCATGTGAACATCAAGAAGAGAAACGAACAACAGCGGAATTTTGTTAGTGTTGTAAAAGATGACTAGTAGAATGCAGGATAACAAAATCCTTACCCATTACTATCTTCGTCTTGGTGCTGCGCATCATCCGCAGATTCTCCGATCTCCCTCGGTGAATTCGAGCCCGAGCTCCTCCCACTACTGCCCTCTTCCACGTCCAGAATATCCGCCTCGGTCGGGTGCCTCCGCCGGTACTCGATGCACACACAGACCATATGCAGCAGGCACTGGAACGCGTATCCCACGATCCACAATCGAAGAGGCATCGACGGCGTCTCATCACGGCTCAAGATCAGCACGCCGACAGCGACCCCCACGAAGGCCAGGTTCCACAGGATGTCGAGGAACACGACGGGCTTAGAATAGGCCCAGTCGTTCTGCCGCTCCTCCAGATGCTCCGCCGCCGTCTCCCGCACCATCATCGACGGCTCCCTCATCATCCGCCGGCCGCTCGCCCGGCGGAGGAACCAAGCGGCACTGCGGAGGCTGGGGCCTCGCCCGGACCGGCCCGCGCCGCCGAGGAGCGGGGCCGGGTCTACGCTGCCTTCCCCGCCCGGGCTCGGAGGCCTCGTCGTCGTCGTCGTCGTCGACATCCCCAATATCGAAGATCTGAAATCGGATGCAACTCTCGTCCTTGCGCCGACCCTAATCGATCCTATCGCTTCCGATCGTGGCGATCCCCAAACGAAGATCCTCGACGAGGAAACCCTTGGTGTGACGGAATCGGAGCCACTTTTCGTCGCCTCTTGATGAATCCCCACAAACGATGATGAGGGCGGGGCCAACCGCGTACAGTCTCGACGCGTAACCGCGTCAGTTTGCATGTGCTACCTCTAGCGGTGTAAATATGTCACACGGTACTCTTTTAAATCTTGGAAACCTCTCTTATAATTAATTATAAAAAGTATCAATAATTAATTAATAATGCAGAAAGATCTTTAAATTATTTGTGTCGATATATTATACTTCTAACGGTCATCAATAATAATTAACCACGTAGAAAGATCTTTGAACTATCTCAGGGGAAGTCAAGACATGGAAATAAATAACAGGATTAAGTCTAAATGACCTAAAATATATGATTAACTCGCTCATTAATTTCATTGGATTTGAATCACTTGTCAAAAAATTTTGAAGTTAAATAAATTAACAATAATATCTATAAGACTTTTATATATTAATCTAATATTAAAAACTATACCAAGGAAGAACAAATTCTTTCGATTTTAGGATAAGACAGAGACTCTTCCGAAGGATTCTGTCTACCTACCGTCTCCATTAAGCTGGCCCGAGCGAAAAAGATATCCATCAAGCACCAGAAATCATACACATCTTTTCTGATTTCCACCTCTGACCAGCAGACAAATGTATGCCCGTGGATGTCAATCCCATTCTGATTCCTTCTCTAACGCAGACGAAACCTTTCCCGGCATCCATTACCCGAAAGATATCATTAACAAAGGTGAAAGGTCCACTCCTCCGTGCGTAGACTTTGTGAAGTTGTTCAATCAGTGCTCCAGTTTATGATGATTTCAATCCTCCCATCATCTGTCCTCTCGACACCTCACGGCACGAGAATATCTCTTTTTGATCTCCGTGGCCAGCTTGCACTACTCCTTCCCTCTATAAACCCTACCGGCTCCGAAGCAGGAGCCACAAACTTGTCTGCACCTTCTCATTTAGAAGCTTTCAGCTTTCTTCTAGTTCTTTCGATCTCGCTGAGACGATGACCAAAACGTTGGGTCCACTCGCAGTGGGGAGAGTGATAGGAGATGTGTTGGATTCCTTCGTCCCTGAAATGAAGCTGGAGGTTGCTTACGGTCATAACAAGCAAGTCTACAATGGCCATGAGCTCATGCCTTCTGCGGTGTGTGGAAGACCGCGGGTTGAGATCGGTGGCGATGACATGAGGAGCTTTTATACGCTTGTACGTAACGTATGATTCTATCAACTTTGATCCAGCGAAATGGTCAAACATATGGAGTTAATTTATGCGAGCATTCGTAGGTTTTGACAGACCCAGACGCTCCGAGCCCCAGTGACCCTCACTCGCGAGAACACCTCCACTGGTTAGCATGCAGCGTAACATTTCTATTACGGTCTGTAAAGTTCGTATTCGGTGCATAAACAATCTGGGTTTGGCTTCTTCAGGATTGTTACTGACATTCCCGGCACGACTAATGCATCGTTTGGTGAGTAGTAGGACTCGAACACGTTCTTCCGATGCTCATCTTTTCATGGTTGATGCAAGTGATGAAGTGCCGGTTAGTGTGGACGATGCAGGTAGAGAGATAGTTAGCTACGAGGCACCGAAGCCTTCCATCGGCATCCACAGGTACGTGTTCGTCCTCTTCAAGCAGAAAGGGAGGCGAACGGTGTGCGTGCCGGCTTCGAGAGACCACTTCAACACGCGAAGCTTCTCCGAGGAAAGCGGCCTCGGACTGCCTGTGGCTGCGGTCTACTTCAACGCACAAAGAGAAACAGCTGCAAGAAGAAGATGAATCGTGATTGTGATGATCAGCCACGAGTTTCATCTATGGAAGCGTCCTTACCATGAAGAAATGAGCAAGAAAATTATATGTAACATTATTATCTTAGTGGTAAGTTTGTTTGAATAAGTATGTCCAATGCTTGTTAAATCAGACAATTATAGCTAATAAAGAACTTATCAAGATTCTGATAACTCTTTTTTGAGGAAACAAAACACCTTCGATGAGTATATAAGTTTCCATTGAAATGTAGATTAATTCCACAAATTATCATTCATTCTATTCTGTATCCATCGGTCGTCGTGACGAGTCAACGTCATCTCGGCCATGCACCAAAGATTCCCTCGATAATTAATAGTGTGCAGCATCTACTTTACCGAGCAGTAATGACCAATAAATCAACGCCATCAACAATCTTGCCCTCTTAAATGACCTTATTCTTTGCCATGATATTTATCCTTCGATGAGATATAAAGAAAAATAACTTTTGTATATGAATAAAATATTAATTTTTTTAAATAATTTATATATATATATATATATAATCAAACTGTTTAGGATATATTTAATTTAAAATCAACGAATAATCAAATCGATTTAATTTCGAGTCCAATCGAATCGATGATCAGAACGAACTATCAGAGTCTCCCTACGTAAGAGTAATGGGGTTGTCAAGATAACGTCTGGTGCCAGTAGGACGTGACCTCTGAGTAAGGCTTGACAGGAAATGGTGTGAGGATTGTGGCTGGCGATAGGAGGTGCGTTTGGCAAGGAAAAGATGCAGAGGGTGACTACAAGATCGATTAGTTTGCTCGGTGATGTGTATGGTCTAATGTAACATTGTCTTTCGTTGGATTGAGATGCACTGATGCGGAAGAGATGTCATCATCACCACATGACCTTTACGACGTTGATATGCATGTAGGTGATGTTGTCTCTCGTCAACATCCAAATCTAATAACTAGAAGAAATCCACCATTTTCTAAAACAAATAATAAGTTGGAGCATATCTTATTCATTAACCTATTTCAGCAGTTTAGTTACCATGTAATCATTTCAAACAATTCAATCGAATATGACTTTTAGGTTAAAATTGTACCAATAAAATGTAAGTAGAATATTCATCTACGCCCACAAAACATTAATAGAGTGAGCCACTTTATTATTGAAATATTACTATTTGTATTTCCCTTTTTATGATTTATAATTTATTAAAATTTTAAACATATTTTTAACTATCTTTTTATAAATAATTATATATATATATATATATATATATATATTCCCTCCTACTCGTCTTCCTTTTTCTCGTCGTCCGTCTCCTCCTCTTCTCTTTCCCCTTCTTTTTATTAAATGTTTATTGTCTTCAAAGTTTTTCATGAACAACATACTGTTGATAACATCAGAATGATGAAAATTATTTTGGAAGAGCATTATTTGGTTTTAAATTGGTTTTGATAATGCATCTATAAATACTATTTTGATCCTTAATTACAAAAAGTGTGTCAACCAACTTTTGGTGGTGTCTTTTTCTATATTAGCTGTTCTTGCCATATTTTAAATTTATATGTAAAAGAAATCTATATTTTAAAGATTAAAATGCTCCTATAGATGAAACTTTACATATTAATTGCTTAATAAAAGTTTTGAGTAAAACAAATTATTATATACTTTTGTTACAAATAATGTTAAACAAGTAAGTTTATATCCACAACATTGGAATGTCTGCATACCTTATTCAGTGTTTATTATCCTACCACTCATATATTTTTAATTATATGTATTAATATTGTTGGTGCTTCAAAAGAATATCAACATGATCATGACTTAAATATAACTATTATGACAATGAAAACAAAATGGATGGATAAATTATTTTCTCGTTATTCCATTGATTTATCCTCATAGATGGTTTGAGTGATTATTTATATATTTATTATGAAAATTTAGGATTATAAGTTAATATTGGGAAGAAAATTAGAGTAATAAAAAAAATTGGTCATTAACTTAGACTATTATAGTGCAAATTTTAATAGACAACAAACTACTTTTAAAACATCTCCATCTTTGGATTGAGTTAGCAAGAATAGTAGAATTAGCAAGGGAGCAAAATTATTATTGCAAAGATAAACAAAAATTTGAGGAGATTATTAGGCTCAAACTTGGAGCTTAAATTTAGTTTGGTAACAATACTATAAGTATAGAATTTTTAATTCTTCAAAGGTGGATGCCAAAGACAATAACTTTTCTTATTTTGACAATGATAACAAGATAAATATTAGCAATCTATGGAGCAAGTTTTCAACACACGAGATATATTATGTATGAAACTTGTTCGAGTATGATCCCGAATCAGTTTAAGCTTAAACATATATTTGGAATAAGATGGAGAAAAAAAAGAAGAAGAGATCATCCGCAAAAACAATGACTACTTATTTAACGTATCAACCGAAAGAACAATCAAAACATCCGATACCAAATTTATAATTTTATTATATATATATATATTTTTTTTATTTGACTCATTATACACCCATATTTTAAGCTTACAAATAAAATTATAAAGTTTTTATATTTTAAGTTATTTTTAACTAATATTCTTAAAAAAATTTAATGATTCAAATCGGAATTAAAACCATCAGAATTAGAATTATCAATTCCAATTCTAATTCAAGAACTGGCGATTTTGGAACCTTATGACTTAAAATATCTAATCATTTTCAATCTCTATTATTTTCGATTTTGGAACCTTATTATTTTCGATCTTGAATTCAAGTGATCAGCAAAATAATCAGCTTATCATGTTACATAGCTGATTATTTTCGATCTCTATTGAGATATTTAAGTTGATTAAAAATCTTGAGACACAAAATGTACTCATAAGAATAAATCCTCTAATTAAAATTTAATTTTAATACATCAAAAAGTTTGAATTTAATTTAAAACTCTTATCAAGTAGATAGACACATCTAAATACAGCAGTTTATTTATCCTAAATTGTAGACTACAGATTGTGTTTTTCATGTATACCATAGAATTCTTAGATCAAATATGTAGCATGGCCTGTGTGAGATGCATGTCACATAGTCATGGAAATGAATCAAGGAGGAAGAAGAAGAGTATGACTTCCTTACCATCACCAACATTTATTGAACTTGCTACAACTCAACCATCTCGTTCTTAGATGAAACCCAATACTCGTAAAGCAAGCGTACAACATAGTCTTCCACACACGAAACAAAAGCCACACGACAACATCAATTGAATAACGCAGCAGGCGGTGGAGCGACGGCATTTAGAGACAGAGTCAATGCCCGAACCACCACCATCGCTCGGTGCTAGGGATCTTTGTTCGCGCGGTTCGTTCTTGACTCAACCCATGCCATGGCACTCTCCCCTACACTGCTGCTTCGTCAAGGCTCGCAGTTGAGCGCCGCCTTTATCTTTTGGACGGTGCAGGAGATTAGGTTGTTGACGGTCTCCACCGACTCCACCGTCAGCTTCGCTGTTGGCTGGCTGTTCACTAGGATCTGGAACGCCACGGTCAGCAGAGAGCCACCGGCCTTGCGCGCGCCACCGACGCTGCCGCTGGGTAGGCCGTCCGGGAGGACAGCGAAGCCGGAGGGAAGGAGAGCGACGTAGGCGGAGTCACCGCCGCTCATGACGAGGTGCATGGCCGGGATGTCCACCGGCGCGTACACCACCAGCGACCCCGACGTGTCCGTGCACGTCTCCTGCAGTATCAGCATGCTGCTCTGATTCGCGTTCATGGCCTGCAGATACAACTCAAATGCTGAGGCGCCACACTGCTTCAAGAAACAGCAATGCAACCACATAATGATAAAAGTATGGATTGAGCATGAGGGAAGGTTACTATGATGTCAGGGGTGAAGAAGAAAGGACAGCTATGAGCCAGTCATGCTTCTCATGTCAAGTCTAATGTCACTAGTACGTTTGTACGCTGAGGAGAAGGAAGAGCTATGGAAGTGAGGTAAAACGATACTCACGCTGGCTCGGAGGAGGGAGACGGCGTTGCCGGTGTTCTGGCCCTTAGCGATGTGGGCCATCTCCTGCATGGGCCCACCGTTGGAGAGGATGTCCCACTGGCTGCGGAGCTGCTCGTTGCGGAGGAAGTCGAACAGGCGCTGCGGTGAAACTGGGAGCCACACCGAGGTGGCGGCGCTGAGCACCACCCCCGGCGGTTCCCCCGGGTCGGCCACGCTCTGCCTCGTCATCACCCGCACGTCCTCCCCGATGTTGATCCCGCCGCCAAGCTTTTTCCACTCGCGGGCCGACGATGCGCAGACGCCGGCGCAGAAGTTGTCGGTCATCCGCTGCGCCAGCTTCAGCATGCTCCTCCGTCCGCTCGGCGTTATCGCTGTCATGGCAATACGACCACTTCTGCTGTAAACAACTATTGCACTTATACGTGTTCGTTCTTCGCCAAGAAGCTTACCGGTGTTGTCATCAGGAGGGAGGGAGGAGGACATGAGGATGGCGAGGGACTGGCACTGGCGTTGGAGCGAGGCCACCCAGCGGCGGGCACCGAGGGCCAACCCGGAGAGCAGCAGCGGGCGGTACAGCGGCGGGACTGCCGCCTCGTCGTACTCGGCATGCTCCACCCATGTGACCTGCGCACCACCGTCGTCGTTAGTTCATTGAATCTCCCTTCTCTCTCTCTCTCTCTGCTAGGTCGACGCTACAGTGCACGCTGTCACTAGGAGACACAGTTCACTCTTCCCTATGCAAGCTTGATACTGCACACGACTTGGGCTCTGATGGACGCCAAAAGCTTTGACTATGAGAACCAGTGACTGCATCGATCCAAAACACATGAACAGAAGCAGTATATACTACTGAACCCTCTTAAGAATAGGCCTCGAGCTATTGCACGGGTGTTAGCTTAGATGACTAATTAAAGCTAAGACCTGGAATAGAAATGGGATTAGAAACAGCAGACTCGTTGCGACTAAACCAATCTAGATGTAAACTAAGTCATCGTAATCCATGTTCGAAGAAAGCGACGCACAGCTCACGAGGGACGCGACATTTTTAATGTTTATTTGCAGGAGACGGGGACAGGAAGAGAAGAGACTTCCATGTCCAGACTAAACAATACAAACTGTGATCGAAAGACATGGGCGAACCCGGCGGCGGAGCCCCAACTTAGGGCTTTGAGAGCCCGGAGAG